TAGCCAAACTCATCCATTAACAAATGATTTCTACGTTTATCAAAAGCTCTTTCATCACTCTGCAAAAAACCGTCAATTTTGCTCTTTGTTTTTTCATTGTTATAGCCAAACTCCTCTATAAACAAATAATTTTTACGTTTATTAAGAGCATTTTTATGAGGATGCAAAAAATTTAATTTTTCTTTTTTTTACGTTATCATAGTTATAGCCAAACTCATCAATCATTCAATGATTTCTACGTTTATCAAGAGCTCTTCATCGTATTGTAGAAAACCGTCAAGTTTGCTCTTTTTTTTTTTTAATGGTTATAGTCAAACTCATCAATCAGCAAATAACTTCTACGCTTATCAAAATCTCTTTCATCAGGGTCCATAAAACCAGAGATTTTTCTCCTTTTTTGTTTGTTATCATTGTTTTAGCCAAACTAATCAATCAGCTAATGATTTATACGTTTATCAAGAGCTCTTACGTCATATTGCAGAAAACCTTCAATTCTGCTACCTCTTTGTTATCATGGTTATAGCCAAACCCGGTAATGAGCAAATGATTTATACTTTTATCAAGAGTTTTTTTATGAGGCTGGTAAAAACTTTTTATTTTGCTCATTTTTTCTGTTATCATGGTTATTACCAAACTCATCAATCAGCATGTGTTGATATGTTTATCAAGATCTCCTTAATCAGACTACAGAAAATCGTCAATTTTACACCTTTTGTTTTGTTATCATGATTATAGCTAAACCCATTAATCAACAAATGATTTATACGTTTATCAAGAGCTTTTTTATCAAGCTTCAGAAAACCGTCAATTTTTCTCATTTTTTTTGTTATTATTGTTTTAGTCAAACTTATCAATGAATAAATGATTTCTACGTTTATCAAGAGCTCTTTCATCATACTGCAAAAAAGTCATCGATTTTGCTCATTTTTTGTTATCATGGTTATAGCCAAACTCATCAATCAGCAAATGATTTCTACGTTTATCAAACTCTTTCATCTGGCTTTTTAGAAGTGAATCAAAATTATGTTGTTGAGAACAATATTTTTAGCTTACTTCTTTGTGAAACGTCACAATTATCTTTTTAATAAATATTTGGAAATTAACTAATAATAATATTCACCGAGGAGTTAGTGATTTTATCTAGATCTAAACCTAAACAATTTTATCTTTTTCCATAAATTTCAAAATCAAGAATATTTATTTTATATTTAGGATATTTTAAAGTATTTACACACTAACTTACCATCTAATATTCTAATTAATATCTCGATTTTCACTTTTTTGACTACTCCTTCAAGATTTATTTTTCTAGTTTTAGTTCATATAACACAAATATATTTTTAATTTTAAAAATTTATAGAGAGATTGATATAACCATCCATGATTTATTTATTTAAATATTCAAACCTTGACAATAACTGAATACATCCATGATTCTATTTTATTTTATTTTAAAAATAATGTTAGTTTACGTAAGGATCAGTCAAAACCAAAAGTGATTGAACTTTGAGTTTTGGTGTTATAAATTTATAATAATACGGTAACAATTGTGGCACAAGAAAAGTCTCTTAATTTTTTTTTGCAAGAACATAAGACGCTTCAACTTTGTCTTACAAAGTACGCATCGGAGTATAAATATAGAGTACAAAAAAAATCTCCCCTTATGCGGGATCATATATTCACAATGTACGTATCAGAGTATAAAATATAGCTCACTTAACCATATTGTTTACCTTTATCTACGGAAATTTAGAGAAAATATACTTAATTTTTGTCAAAGATATAGATCCAAATTAAGGTATGCTTTATTATAATTTATACTTATGGTAATTTAAGTAGACGATAACGCTAAATATACTTGCTGCTTTAAATACAGTACTTTGTATTTATGTGTAGATCCATATTTTAAACTTATATACCTTTTTAATTTAAAATGAGGAAAGAAAGTTTTCCAAATAAAAACTCAAAAATGCCACTTTTAATCTATCTAATATATTGGAATATCTTATGATAATTTAATTAGGCAATAACATTAAATATACTCAATGATATGCTAAGTGTATCCGTATAAGAGAATTTAGAGTTCCTATTAACGAAATATATATACATCATCTATATATACATTTTTGGAGACATTTTTGAAATAAATCATGGAGTTGACACTTATTTACAATGTAATGCCACTGATATTAATTCTTAAGATTTATTTCTTTAATTAGATATATGTAAATCAAATTTGTTTGCCAAAAATCTGGAGACAATCTTTCCTAATATCTCAATAATGATCATTTATACTCTATTTAAATTAAGATTTTCAATTCAAAATCACTTACCATATATTATAATTTATATATTCAATATCTATAAATTTATATATTCAATATCTATAAATTTTTTTTATGATATTATGAACATTTGGACATATCAACATTTTAAACTAACACATGATGGGTTATATTACGGGCCGAAATTATATGGTGGGGCAGAGTTATTTGGCGGGACGGGTTTGAATCAAAGTTAATAAAATTTTAAAATATCATTAACCCGTTCCTTCAATATGGGTTAAATCCTCACTTTATTATTTTGAAAGACCTGTAATATTAGACATATCGAATCAGTCTAATTTAGTTAAGATTGTATAAAACAAAAAATGTTCCATAGTATATTGTTACTTAATGATAATTATAAACTATAAATTATAAATGTCTTACAAATAATACAATTTGCAAATTTTTATATATAATACATAATTTAGAATTTTTAAAAGTTATAAATTTTAGAAAAAAATCACCCCGAGGGTCAATTCCTAGTAATTTAAAGAATGTAAAAATGAAGGAAAAGTAATATTTAATTGATATGGCTCAAAAGGGGAATAAGCTAAGGATTTTCTTACAAATTTAAGCTCCTATTTATTTAGTTACAATGAAAACATGATATATCAACCAGACTTCTATATATAAATTCTTATATTGTAAAAGGATACATAGTACAAATCGTTAACCAATTAGATGGGTGTGTGATATTGCTTAAGTCAAGTACAAAGAATCAAGAAGCAGATCTTTAGGAAATAAATATGAATGGTTTGGTTGAACCTAAATATTTATAACTTATTACATAGATTGAACTGTAACAATTATGTTTTTTTCTCAAAAATTGGCAATTCTCCAAACAAAGATATTCAATGAATATTTTAGACTTTATCTACAACTTTTACAAATTTAAAAAGAAAAAATTCATATATAAACTAAAACTAAACAATCTTATCATGTTTAAAATAAAATTCATAGTCAAGAATATTTATCTTTTATTAAAGATATTATAAAGTTTTTACATGCCAATCAAAGTGATAGATTTTTTGTGTTTTGATATTATAAATTTATAATAATACAGTAACTATCTAGATATTTTATTCTTTTTAAAAAATAATAAACCTATCATATATATTTTTTTTTTCTAAAAGAAATTTGAAAAAGTTTTAGATATTTCCAAATTTTATGATAGAGACAAATGACAAACTATTATCGTTTTCAAAAATAAATAATCTTAAATATGTATATATGTAACACTAAAACATTTCTTTTCCCGAAACAATAACCCAAAAATAATAATAATTTCCAATTTTTTTTCCTTTTAAATTCTAAATGATATTTTTATAATGTAAATAATTCAGAATAACCTTAAATGGTTCTAATTTTTAATAAATATTAACATTTATATTTGGCACTATCACAATCCTTATAAAAATTAATATAGCTTAAAATGTTTTAATTTTTTACTACTTAAACATGATTTTATGATTTTTGCTATTTTTATTTCCTATATTATAGAACTAAGTTGAGAAAAATATTATTTAACCCATCTGAATTTCTATTACACACAATTTATATTTTTAATTTTTATTAACAATAGAAACATACATTTGATAATTAAATCATTTAAACATTAAAAACTCTGTTCAATAATCCGAGAAATAATATGCCACTGAGTTTCTTATCATCTCCACAAAAGAAAATTATAGAACACAAAAAAAGTGAAACTTATAATAAAGGAAGGTTCAGTCATCATGATTAAAATATATATATTAACAAAAAGTTGGTTTAATTCCTCAATAAACTATTGATTCCATTATCATTAATAATTAATATGATCAATAATAACATTATATATATTATATATAAACATATTTATTTACAAACTAAATATCACAAAAAGTTATACAGACTCCGTTTTATAATGGACAATAAACTATTTATTAAAATATCGCACAACTCTTAAAAAAAAAGTAAAACAATGCACACAACTAAAAGAGTTGCTTTACTCCATACCAAAAAAAGAGATGCCTTACTTGAATACCAACCAAAGTTCATATTCGTACACGTCTTAGCGAAGATGTCTTCTCCAAATAAGTCTTTGTATGTGTATAACGGTGTCTAGTTCATACGTAGCTCAAGAGAAGCACAAGAGTCTCTACTAAAACAATCACGATCGTTCGATTGGCCATACTTCCAGATAGCACCGCTATCACCGTTGAGGTGATCTTCACCGTGCATAGGGAAGAGAGGAAGCCTACGTCGATGTTCCAGATAAGCATTGACACCACATTCTTCTTCTTCTTGACGACCTTCCAGACCAAACATAGGCTTTGGTCTATGCAAGAAGTTGCAAGGCGCAAATGAGTAGTGATGATTATAATCCAAGTTTGCCCATCCTCCACCTACGTTGTTGTAATTTATAGAACAGTCTTGTCATTATATGTAAAACATTAAATTTATATTCATATATGAAGGATATATATTATTTGAATTAAATGGCTTATTGTTTGGTACGTACCATAGACATGTGTATTAATGGGGCCATTAGAAGCATTAACAGCACCACATTCAGTATCTTGATATGACTTCGATCAAGTTAAGTGAGTTTGGATTCTCTCGTAAACCATCTCTCTACCACTATTCAGTTCATCCAAATCCTGCACCAATTCATAAGTACAACATGAAATCTAAACATTACCAACACTGCTCATGTAGTAGAGGACGATGAATATGAAATTCGGCTTAAAAATATAAAAGTTTTGCTTTTCTGATTTCTCGGTTCTATGTTTGAAAACTTGAACCCAATATATTCTGCCATATATGTGTAGAAAACATAAAACGTAGTCCTACATCCAACATTAAGTGTTTGCATACTTCCTGCATAATGAACCGAAACTGAATCAATATGGCCTAACATTGTATATGGAATTTCTTTTTAAGCATATTGTAAAACACAAACACGATATAACTCTTACCAAGAGTCGAAGCATTTATCTTAATCTGGCTAGAAAGAAAAAGCACAGTTAACTATTGAAACCAATATTTGTTTGGCCACATTCATGAGAGATATATACAATAAATTTTAAATTAAAAACAAAAATAAACTATTGAAACCAAATTTCTATTTTGATCATGCCAATGTATAAGCCTCAAATATCGAGCTAAACGTATTTTATATATCTGCATACCTTCTATGATATTGAATTTCTTGCTATTGGACGGTCAATACACTTTCTTTCTTGAACATTAAATATATAGACACCATTTAGGTCATGAGGATTCTTTCTTTCACGCTGCAAGTAACAACAAAACTAAAAAAAAAAACAAATGCTTACATTAAGAGTATTCACAGAGAACTCTAGAGCAGCTTTGGTTTCAGTAGGTCCCGACTTCACGCAACAGGCAAATTCAAAAATGTCAAAATGTGAACCATGCCATAAAACCAAAATGGTAGCATGCACTAAATGTTATACCTCATATGAAGGTACTAAATTTGCAATGTTGCGAACAGTGAATGCATCACCCGGTTGGAATCCCAGGACAGTAGAAGGACAAACCCTAGAGTCTGCACAAGCGATCACCAGAAACTGTTGCTTACACTGTTAGCAACAATTCCTTTCTCCAGACAAAATTTAAACCACAGAAGATATTTCAAGCCTTCCGTGAACAATAATAAGCATTTGTAAATTGTAAAGGTACCTTCGGAGCTTGAACATCTGCCAAATTTTTGTAGTGTTCTAAGTTATCCCTGCTCAAGAGTATATCATAAGGTGGGGAGAAACAGAAAGGCAAAAAGTAATTTATAAACCATTGAAAAAGCAAAAGACTGAAGAAATTGGTTCTGCTACTTACGCTTCTTGAAGTAATTTATAAACCATTGAAAAAGCAAAAGCAAAAGTACTTATGCTTCTTGAAGGCGAGGAACCGCTGTTTCATGTCGTCAAATACATCATTGTCATTTTGTCTATTAATTGCAACCCCATTAGCTTCCTGAGTCAGTCCAGGTGTCTTTCCTGAAGCCATCACTTGCAAGTTTGAAGCTTTTCTTCTGCAAACACCACAACACTTAAATATTATAAAACGTCTCCACTGAGATTGTGCCACTTAAAGCATCACAAAAATACTCTTCTTTTCAAATCTTACAAAAGACACACTACTTATAGACCAATGAGAAAAAGAAAATTTGTATCATAAAACTATTCGATGTGTAATTTTCAAATATAAACTACAATTCAAGTAAGGAGAAGACTGCAATATTGATATATGACCTCTAAAACTCACGAAATTTTACTCAAATTCAAAAGCAGTCCATGCAATCAAAAACGAATTGTACCTATACTTCAACACACTCCCGAAAGCTCATCTTCCATCCATGGCAAGCTTTCGAAAACTCAATACTAAGAGAATCAGCACGAACAGTCACAAGAAACTCTCTATTTTACAATTTTATCACGATAGACATACCTTTGCAATCTCGACATCGATCTCGATTTAGAGAGCCACCGGAGACGATAACTTGCACGATAATGACATTAGAGCGAGCAACCTCTGTTTTTTCGTGAGCTTCAAAACATATTTCTGTGTTTTAGAAAGTAAATATACGTTAGGGTTTCTAGCAATCAAAAAGAAAAGCATGTAAATTCATGATAAATACAAAATATAGTTTAGATTAGAGACTGACTTTTTGTACGATGAAACAAACACGCTTTGATGATCGTATGCCCACATCTCATTGTAACCTGAGAGGTTAAAAAAACATAATAAAAATCCAAAATATATGCTGAAAAAAATTATGAATGCAGGGACAACTAATACGCAATAAAATCGCATATAAAAATATATAATATAACACAAAGAAACACAAACATTAAAATAGGTAAATATATGTAAAATATACAAACCAAATCTATAGAAATACCTTTCCAAACCTCGTTCTGTTCTCGTCAAAACCATCTTCGTCCGAAAGCTTTCTCGATGGAACCTCCCACGTTCTACAAAACTGAAACACATATCAAAAGAATCAAATCAGCAAAACAATAAATCAACGAATTAATGCAAAAAATAAAACAAACAACAAACAATATGCACACGACGTCTAAAGGTAAATAAAAACAGTATTTGCATGACAAACAATTTGATTCATCAGAATCGTAGCTGTATAAAAAAATCATAACGGTGAAAACTATCTAATGGGCACAGAAAAAATAATACCTAATTCTCACCGATCAACAATATATATAGCTTTAAGATTAGGGCAAACATCAATCATTATCTTAAGAAATTTAACTTTTTAATTAGAAACTAAATCAGAAAACTAACAAAAACGAATATTAACTACTAAGATATAGAATTTATCCAAAAAATAAACAAATAAATTAAAGCTAAGATTCCATAATCCTTAAAGTCGAGACATTATGACATTCGTATCCCCAACGATTACACTATATAAAAAAAAAATTAAGGGTGATTAAGACTAATCATCTCAAAACACGATTAGCCTTATATACCCCTAGCAATTAAGAACAAAAAATTTCGAAATTGAGGGTGTTTAGGACATTATTATAGAGATCAACACACGATTAGACTTATATACCCCTAATTACGAAGAAGGAGAAATTTCGAGAAGAACAATTCATTAAGGGTGTTTAGGACAAATCATTCTAACTTTTAACCACAGGCCTCCAATGCCCTAACTTTCAATATGGTGCGTTTCTACTTCTCAAATAATTATTGTAGAGATTATTTATTGTAAAATAATATAATGGTAATCTTTAACTTTAAGATATTAAAAATATATAGAAAATAATGTTTGTCTAATATCTCGGACAAGAGACATTATCTACTCTGGTCTTGATATAACATATAATTAAATCTAAAATAAAATTATAATTGAGCTAATAGCGTTTAGCGTATATTGATAAAAGAAATATGTCAACTTGCAAGGTGGCATATGTTTCTCATTAAGAAATATCTTAAAGTATTAGAATAGATAAATCTGAAAAAATTAAATCCTAATTTATTTCCTTTTGTTTTCAAGAGTTGAAAATTTACATTGTTCTTTTAACTTAGATCGAAGATTTTGCTGCAAACATTTCACTAATATAAAAAAATGTTTGTATTTAATTTTTCTATAGAAAACTTAATTTATTTTGGGAAAAATTTCATAAAAAGTCTCAATTTACAAAAAGTGTTAATAAAAAACTTCAACATTGCATGTAGGCCTGGGCATTCGGATTTCAAATCGGATTCGGATCGGATATATTCGGATTCGGATAATTCGGGAATGAGAGTTTATTATCCGTTCGGATTTTATGATTTTTCGGTTCGGTTTCGGTTCGGATATATTCGGATTCGGATAATTTGGGTAGGAGAATTTATTATCCGTTCGGATTTTATGAGTCATCGGTTCGCTTTCGGTTCGGATAGGTGTCGGATTCGGATCGGTTTTTGGGAAAAAAAAACTTAAAAATAGTTCAATGTTAATAAAAATTGGTTTAATCTTACTAAAATTTGGTTAAATTTTGCAAAAATATGTATAATTTTAACAAATATAACTAAAATTTTTCCGAAATCTAGGATATTTAGGATATTTTTGTTATTTGCTATAAAATTACAACTAAATATAACTAATATTTTTGGATATATAATTTTTATTTCCGGTTTTCGGATATCCTTTCGGTTTTCGGTTCGGATCGGGTTCGGTTCGGGTAATTCGGATAGGAGAATTCATTATCCGTTCGGATTTTGTGACTATTCGGTTCGGATTCGGTTCCGGATTTTTCGGATCGGTTTTCGGATTTCGGGTTTTATGCCCAGGCCTAATTGCATGTGTTGAAATAAATTATCGATTTTTAATTGACTTTTTAATTTAACTATAAATTCAGTTGATTTTTTCAAATAAAACATGTTAAGTCGTCCGACGAATTTTTTTGGCATGTATTTGTTTTACTTTCGAACTGTTAGTTATGTTTCCTTTTGTTTGGATGTAATTCTTTTCTTTTGATAGAGTTTGAGTTTAATTTGAATAAAAAATTATCAATTTTTCAAAAAAAAAAGATTAGAAATCCTATAATCTATACTATTAATTGGGAATCATTAGATATTAAAAAACCTTTAAGTTGTAGAATATTACATAGAATGCCATTAAAATTATTGAATTAAAAAAAGAGGAAAAAAGGAAAAACAACAACAATATAGATATTCATTTTGTTGGAGCACTAAAAGTAAAGATATTCAGAAAGATTTCCACGTATATTCTATCCAAAATTAAAAAAAAAAAAACACTTAAGTTATTGTTATGATTTAATAAGGTTTTCATAACAATCGACTATTTTTTTTTTTGACATGAACAATCGACTATATTAAATTCGAAATAATAAAAATGGAAATGCAATTGTTTACGAAACATTAAATTAAATCTTAAATTAGTTTAAGAAATCATATCACAACAGTTATTACTTGCCAAATATAATTTTAGTTATAGATTTTAATTTTGTTTTTTAAATCAAGCATACCTCGAATCTTAATACTCTCTTTTTTTTCGCCACCTATATTTAATATTTTGATTTGCAAATATATTGTTAAGATTATAACAATGTTAACCCTAAATATTGAAGCCAGCTTGCTTTATCCTATATATATATAGAAGTCGATTTTTTACTACTTACTAATCATTCAAAATTTTCTATTTTTATTGATATTTTATACTTAAGTTTAAACAATGGCTGCAAATCTTGGTTTCAAACAGGACGTGTTTCATAAAAGGTACTTCAATGAAACACATGGCAAAATTTCTTGAATCTTCTTCTTTAATAGCAATGAGTTGTTCATATGTGAATTTGTTGGTTTTTTTATATCAAGACCAATAATTTTTTCTTTTGTCATGATTTTTTAACAGATTGTGTTTGACTTGGATACAAATCTGAACGTATACAAAAATAATTGGGAGACAGTCAAAATATTACAAATCTGAATGTAGCCTTTTGTTTTTCAATTTGACACCTTTCACTGCGATATGTTTTCTGAAGACAAATGCCCCTTGACACACATTTTTCAAATGTTTGGATTCTTCGGTGTGCAATTCTAAGAACAGATTTGGTGTAGAACAATCTAATAGATCGATGATTGGAGTTTCTTTTGCATTAAAGGAAGTCAAGTTGGCTGAGATAAATTGTTGCTAGATGGGAGAAACTTGGCTCCATTCCGTCAGGTGGTATTTTTTGTGTAATTTGGTTTCTTTAATCTTTTTGGTATTATGACCCGATTATTGTACTAGGTGTTACGGATCGGCCATCTTCTGCAAGGGAAATTGAATTCGTGTGGTTTGGATTTTATGTGTTTAGTTCTCGGTTTGTGTTGTATTATTGTGTATTTTTTTTTTTTGTTCTAACATATACATATATACAACAAATAAACTAATTCATAGTAACATGCTTATTCAGATAAATTGAAAGAAACATATTAATTTTTTTTACAGAGAAAGAAATCAAGAATGTGTTGTTGTTCTTGCGAAGAGTCAGCATATTAAATTTCTAACAACGTTTGACACAAATACATGTGTTGACTATATATTTCTAAAGAAAAAACACTCATTGAAGTAGCAAAAGTTGTAGAAAAACAATTATCATATACTTATCAAAGTACGTGTTTTTTTTTTTAATATATCATATGTAACGGTCCAAAATGAGTTAAGATGAGTAGAAAGAGAAGTTTTTTACGCTTTAGAGAGAGATAATGAAATTCTAAAAAAAGAAATTCTAACGCTTGCAGTAGAACTCGAACATGAAATTCTTATTCTCCAAAGTCCCCCATGTCTGCAAATCAACATTCCATATTTGTACTATCAAAAGTTATATGCTCAATTGTGTGGATGTTTAATGCAATTCGGAACGAAATTCTACGGAGCAAAATTTTTAGGAATATAAAAACATTATTATTTATGTCTTATTTAAAATTCAAAACAGGATCGAGATTGAATGGGTAAAGATGGAAATACCTTTAAAAAATGTCTTTAAACATATTACAATTAAAATAAAATATTGCTTGCAATCATGTGTTTAAAATGTTTCTTTCAATTTATTTAGCATAGCGTAGATATTTTTTAAAACATAATAGTGAAATATTGAGAAATATAAAGAAAATATGGATCATTTCCACTAATTTTGTAAAAAATAAATACTTAAACGAAAAATACATGAAATACGGATATTCCATCCAAATCCTAGACTTATTTCCTTATCAGTTGGAGTAAAATATACAATTTTTTTTTATCTACCACACATTAATTTAAAAAATAAATCCATAATTTACTGTGTGGTTGATAAAAAAAAAAATTGTATATTTTACTCCAACCGATAAGGAAATAGGTCTAGGATTTGGATGGAATATCCGTATTTCCTGTATTTTTTGTTTAGGTATTTAATTTTTACAAAACAAGTAAATTATTTTAAAAGAAACAATTATGTGATGAAAAATTCCTGGTAGATATGTGACTGGATTGGTTTTATGTCCCAAAATGGATATGCTTATATTCTCTTATTTCCTTTATTTTTTTTAGTTGTCTTTACTAATACCAAGAACAAATCAGATTAATTTTTTTTTTCTAAACTAAATTGAAACCAAACCAAATACCAAACTGATAAGAGTTCGGATTATGAATGCTATACAAAATAAATCTTTTTATAAACATAACCCCGCACAAATGTGCGGGTCCGAATCTAGTCTTCCTTTAAATAATATGTTTTGATGATATCTCTAAGTGTGGTCTTCAAACTTTCTATAGTCAATATGACTTAATATTGTATTAGCACAGTTCGATTAAAGTCATTTGCCAAATATATAAGACCGATTGATAATGATTATTATTGTTGTTTATAAAAAGTTTGACTGTAATTTGGCTTTAGAAATTTTGGCCGTATAGATTTTGGTTTCTTATACTTTTGGAACTTGTAAATAAATTATTGCTTAAAAATTGTAACTTTAAAAATCACCAAATTTATTGGTTTTCATCAATATATCTTTTGTCAACGAGTTTTATAATTTAGAATATTTTAATAATGTGACAATAATAATTTGTATCTTTAGCTCGACTTCTGGTGTTTATCAACTACATTATGAACTAATATGTACAGATATTCACACATTCAATATTAATTGGTAATAGTACAAGAATCTAAAATGAGTAGTGCACATGCTGACACCTGAAATCACACGTGTGGAGATTATAGGGCCCATCAAAAACACTATGACATGAAAGAGCGTTTTGGAACACATTACCAAACAATAAAACATGAAACATTAACCGTCGATTATTGAGCTATGTTTTGTTTGTACGCCGTTGGATTCTCTCAACCACCGAGAATAGTGAAACTGACTTGTGTCGGTGCATGGTTCTGCAAAAGTCTCGAATACAAGTAAAAAGAAAGTGATTGTTGCCCCCAAAAGGACAAAATCTTGTCCTTAAAGAGTTCACCAAAAATTTTAGAAAAAAATGTAGAGTGCAAGCGAGGAGAATGATGGCGTAATGCGTCAGCCGTCAGTGGATACTTATTAGAGAATTTGACAAGTGGATAACAATAAAAAAAATTTTTTGTTAATTTGAAGAAACAAAGCTTAGAAAATATAGTTATTTTAAGAGAAATTTATTCAATCATAAAGTTAAAATTAATTCTTTAAGATTTAAATTTCATATTTAATATCATTTTTAAAAATCTATTTATATGGATTTCAAAATCTTCGTAAATATATATTGGATTTCGATTCTAATATATACTTATGAAACTTCAAAAATTTTATTTAAAGGACTTATAGAAAGATTTTAAAAATCTTTTAGTTTTGAATAACACTTAATTTTAATGATTTACAAATTTAATATCAAATAACATCAGATTTTAAAAAATGAATTAAAATCATTAATTGAATAACAGTAGATTAGTGTTGGATTCTATTAAAATCCATGATTGAATAACATCCCATAATTAATCAACTTTTTGTGCTAAAGAAGAGTGTATTGGATAAAAGATTTGGAGTGATTTCTATTAAAATGACAAATCCTATGTTATTCAAACATGAATTTAAAATTTTTTCTAAAATCAAGTGTTATTAGATTAATGATTTTAAAATGTACAATCAGATCCACTGTGATTAGAAACATTTTAAGTAATATTTAAAATAATATGATAAAATAATAAAATAATAATATTTTAAAACTTTTCTAGTTAAATATATGGTTCCATCAATAATATAAATTAATAGTTATATAAATTTATCAATAGATACATTATACATAGATTATGTAAACTAATTTAGTGTAATATGACTCAAGTATTGTTTGTTTTCTTATATTTGCATTAATTTTTGGTTTAGTTCATTTCTAATATTTTACTTCATCTAATTTGTTTGTGTTATTTTCTTTTAGAAAGATGTGGATTATAACGAAAAAAAGTCTTTTCAGATAATTTTTTTTAATTACAAATTTAGTCATATCTCTCTATAAATTTATCGATAATTCTTAAGATATTAAATTATTGATAAACTAATACCTTCTTGATTTATTTTCTTTAGTATATTTAATATATTCTTGATTTCTTTTCATTATTATAAGCAAATTGTGTGGACAAGCCATTATCAACACACTAGCAAAAAAGAAAAGAAAAAAAGAAACTTGAATTTTTTTCAAGACTCTGGATAAATTCCGAGCTTCCAAAAATTATCGGTCTTTGATGTTTTAAATACAACTTTTTTATGTTGTTGTGGTTGCTATGATTTTATTTTCAACGACTTTAACTTATATCTGATGCATTTACTATTTTCAATTCTCAACTGCTTGCATCAAAAATATATTATGACTTTACAAAGAAAAATGAATAATTTATGAAGGAGAAACTATGAAATTATGAATGATGATGAGATGCTGAGCATGATTAACAATGGTATCTTAAAAATGGTTCTTAAAAGTATTAAAGTTAAGAACTCTTAGACCATACACAGTGGTGTATGTTTTGGTGGGGTGTGAGTATTATTTAAAAGGAAAATAATAGAATAGTGTAACACATGGGTGTGAGATAACACTTGAGTGTGAGTATTATTTTAATATTTTATGTTTCATCTATCTCTTTCTCTCTTCTTTCTCTTTCTCCACTAACCAAATCTCTCTCTCTCTTAAAAAAATTATAATAAATATATTGTTAACACCCACCCATCCACATGCACCATTGTGGGTGCTCTTAGTTTTGGGTCTTAGCTAAGCCACTTTTCTTAGTTTTGGGTCTTAGCTAAGCCACATTTCTTACTTAAGAACTTTTTAAGATACCCTTGACAATGTGCGTGAACATTTCTCCGCGTCTTTCCCACTAATACAACAGTTTTGTGTGTGTTTTCTTTCTTTTCTTCTCAAGCTTTTGTCGTGTTATGTTCGAAGAATGAATCCACAAAATTTAACCACTATAAACATATTAGGAAACCGGCGAAATTCATTCAAAGATTAGAGAATGTTTACCAATATCTATTAGAACCAGTGACATCTTATAATTATTCTCTAAACAGTCGTCTCAAATTCTATAATATTGATTAAAATTATGATAAAAGAGGTGAATTCTATTATCCATCAACATGTATCCCCATTGAAAAAAAAAAAAACATGTATCCCCATTCATTGCAACCATCACAGCGTGATTAAAGCCATGGGTACAACGTAAGATATGTATGACAGTGTCTCAATCACCACCATTTTTGATAATGTTTTGGTTGGAAATGACTTCTATAAATCAACCTACACAAACACTTTCACGATAACCAAACGAGTGCAGCGTTCTGTGTTGGGATGAAGTTTCAAAAGTATGAGTAAAATGCTCGTCATAAGCCTTTTGTGACCTAGAATTGATTTGAAGTCGAACCTAAATTGGGATCAAGGGTAGATCTAGTCTTGTGTGAGCTGTTTACTGACTCCATTCATGCATGCAAGATTTGCTTTCATAAAAACTGAGAAAAAAGAAGCAAAATAAAAGCCAAAAGAGAAACAATGTTGCTTTGAATTTTCTTTAAGTAGAAAATAACTTATTCTTTGTGAGTCGTTATTAGTGGCTTGTGACCAACTTTTGACATTTTACCTAATGTATAACTTTCTTAAACATTTATTGGCTTTTTAAGAAACAAAAATGGGACATGAAAGTTTGGGGCTTTTGGACTTATTTTCTCGAATACGATTTATAAGTACTACTAATTCATATGAAGTACTAAATAGCTTTTGAGAGTTTAACACATCATATATATATGTGTGACATTAAAAATACTTTTTCTCATTAAAATATTGAAGTTAGCGATATAACAATTTGGTCATTACAAAATAAGACGGACAATAATTAAAAAATACGCGATATATACTTTCGCGAATACTTTCACATCATTCTCCGATAAGCCTCTTTTGTTATTCTCAATCAAATTTGCAAGACTTTGGCCAGAGCAATACTCAAATATCAAGTTGTAATTTGTGCTTTCACCACTATATATGACTTTTTCACTCGTTCGATGTGAGTTACGACAAAAAAATTTTAACAGCAGCGTTAAATACTCATTTGGTTCTCGCCACGATACTATTTCTACTCTCGTCTTATTTTTCAAAAGAAGGACGACACAAATCTCCTATTTTTCTTATTTTTCTTATTTTTCGTATTACAAAAATAAATTCGTACACTGAAAAATAGGTGTAGCATTTTGTGAGCAAGTTCTAACATTTTAACTAACAACATTAGCGTCAATGTCAATTTCGACCATAGTTTTATAGTTCATGTGAAATTTATAAACTTTACGTTGGTTAGTGTAGTTTTTATGTACAGTACACAATTCATATATATTGCATAATAGGTCATTATGAAATCTTTTAATTGCGTATCGATCGTTTTTCACGCCTAAACATTTGCAAAGTAAATTTGTGTAATTTGAACATTTGTATGTTTGATTTTAGAAATATTTCTAAATATCTCAAAATCTAATATGGAATAAATCTTTATCGAAATACAATCATAAATTAGGAAACAAAACTACCGGAGTTCAACTAATATTTTATGAATATGCATAATTTTGACCTAAAAAATATTCAATAGTGCAAAATTACATGATGAATTTTGCTTAAATTTCCAAATTAATTAAAAACTCAAAAATATACTTATATACCCCTTAGTTTCCATGTAAATTGCAATCTTCTACTTTAAATATGATTCCAATGTAGCTAAAGACCCAAAGTCTAACATACTCTTCTCACCAAACTTAATTGTATATTCATCTTCAGAATAATAATAAAACAAAAAATATGCAATAGTACTACTCCCTCCGTTCCTAAAAGTTTGATGTTCTAGTGTTTTAGGTTTGTTCCACAAAGATTGATTTTTTACATTTTTTCTTTATTTTTAATTAATTGATATTAATAAATCGTAGATTTCAAGACGTAATGATTAACTGTTTTAGATTACTATTGGTTCATAGTTTATTAAAAAATGTTTAATAAAAATAAATAATTAATCAATGATTGTTTTTTAAAATATGTGAAATCTCTAGAAAATCAATCTTCTAGGAACAGAGGGAGTATAATTTTATTATTTCTTTTAAAAAGAAGTGCGTATGAAACCGACACCTCTGAGACAAAAACAAAAATATTAAAAAAAAAAAAAAACAGAGTGGTAGCAGTGCAAAAAGGGCCAAAATTTTGGTATTGAGAAGAGTGTGAAGAGAGCCAAATTATTCTTTCAAAAAGCCTTTACTCAGATAACACCACTTTACCTCACGCGCTTTCGGATCCATCTCTTTGACCCGCCCATAGATCCGGATTCACTATCCTCCTCCCGGGTCAGTCTTTATTTTTGCAATTTCTTCTCTTTCATAAGTGTCCCTTCTTCTGCTTCCGCGTCTTTTTCTTTCTTCCAGAAAATTTCAATACTGATTGAGAGATTACAAGATCCATGTAAGAAACCCATCTCAGATATTGATTTTCATCAACCAAAAAAGCTACTCTTTTTTGAAACCCAGAAATTTAATTTTCACCTTCTCAATCACAAAATAGTTTTTCTATTTTATTTATAGTACTTTTAATGCAGTTTCTTATGTATATATGGGTCAAATTTGGTTTCTTTAGAAAATTTCTTGGTCTAATTTTACCAAAGTTCTAATCTTTTTTTTTTTTTGTTTTTGTGCAAAACCAAAGTTATAATCTTTGCATGTTGTTTCTTCATAGTTCATTTTTTTTTTAATATATACATTTTTTTAAGGATGAAAAAATTAACATTTTCTTTTGTCCGTTGCAAATATTTCTCCGCTGATTTCAAGTTGAGGAATTTAATTATGGAATATTTTGGCATATTCTTTGAAAATCTCTCATTCTTTGGTTCATTCTAGATAATTTAATTTTGTTGTATAAATTTTTTTTAAAAAAGAGTAACTAGAGTACCAAAAAGTACGGTACTTTGATTAAAAAACTTATCTGATGCTAATTAATCGGCGTAATTTATATTAATGAATCTTGTTAAGAAGTTGTATTATTAGTCTCTCTGATGAGTTTTTTTATTTTATGAAACAGATTGAAGAAGAAACCGTAAAATGCTGAAGACAAGAGCAATGTTTCCTCACAAAGATCAAGCAATGTCTCTGTCTTTGGATCAACAATCTGATCTTCTTGTCGGACTCAACAACACCAGACCGATCACTAACCCACTTGCTTTGAGTCTTTTGATTGGTCTGAACAACAACAAGAAGTGTATCTCAGATTCTGATTTTGTCCGGAGTCCCAAATCTCCTCTTGAATTTAGGATCTTATCTACAATGGCTGATTCATTTTTCCTCAGATCTCCTAGATCATCACTCACTGCTCATCTTAACTGTTGTTGTGGTCCTGCTGCTAAAGTTGGTTTAAGCATTGTTGATTCTCTTGGTGATGATCGGTGTTTGTTACCTGATGTTGTGTTTGGACCCGCGTTGAGGATCAAATGTTCTGAGGTTAAGTTGTTCCCTGTAGCCAAGTCTATGAAGATTGAAAAGGAAAGATCTGGTGTTGTTTTCGAAATCGGTGATAACTCTTCTGAGCCTGAGCCGATTGGGTTGAGAAACCGATCCTTTTCTGCGAATGATTGTCTGCGAAAAACCCGAGTTCTGTCTCGATCCAAGTTAGGCGCAGAAGGGGACTTCCAGGGGAGTGGTTCTGAAAATGCATTCTCCTCTTGTCTATCTGAGGATGACATGGAGGATTATACTTGTATCATTGCACATGGTCCTAACCCGAAAACCACTCATATTTATGGTGACCGAGTTTTAGAGTGTCACAAGAATGGGTTAAAGGGAGATGATGATAATAAAGAGAAGACTATCGAAACGGAGTTTGATAACTTCCTCAGCATCTGCAACTTCTGCAATAAGAAACTCGGAGGTGACGACGACATATATATGTACCGGTGCGTGCTCCTTTTCCAATACTATCTACCAAATATAGGATGATTATGAGTTGCACAAGTTAGAGGATGTTAAGTACAGATTTGGGGTTTCATATTAGTATGAGGAACATGGTTTAGAGGTTTCGAAAAATCTAAACTTGTGATGTTTGTGGTTATGAATTGCAGAGAGAAATCATTTTGCAGTGCAGAGTGTCGTTCAGAGGAGATGATGATAGAAGAGGAGGACCAGGAAGAGCCGTGCATAGCTATGCATGAATCTTTAAAGAAGCTCTTCTGAACAAGAAGCAGCTATGACGATGGCCATGGGACGAGCTTTTATAGACCCGACCATCGTCTTTTAACTACCTAAAGACTTATTATATATGTATTGACTAGTACTGTCATGCCAATGTTAGGTAACATGTGGCACTAAACCCGTTCATCCGTCTACAAAGAGCTGTGTTTATGCACATCTATTAGCAGCTGCAGCAGCCACGGATGGATTGGTCGGCTTTCTTTTTGTATATTTTGTAATGGGTTTTTTTTTTTTTTTTCTGGATATCGAAGTTGAAGGATACTACTAAGATCTTAAAATAAGTTTCGTAAAGAGAGTGTTGGTTGCGAAAGGGATTGTGTGACCACTCCATCTTCTTCTGAGTACTGGGTTTGAGGGTCTTTCTATGGCCTCATAAGTTTGTATGAAGATTTTAATTAAAATAAGTATCTATAATGCTACAATTATATCTTTTGCAAATAGAATAGCAGCATCTTCGGATTCAGCAGTTGGTCATTACAATTATTTGTCAATCTTGTCTGCAACTGCAAGAGAAAGCCAGTTTGGTTTTGGCTTTATGAATTTGTTGTAGACACATAACTGAACTACAATACATTACTGAGAGCAAGACAGTGGGAAATGATTAAGAAAGACAACGTTTTTTAAAAAAATTGTGTAGAACTCAGTCTAACTATGATACAAATTTCCTAGAGGACATTAAAGCACTATGCTCGTAATCTCAATCTTGGTCTACAAAAATTAAGTTAAGTTATTTAGCTATTTTTTTGTAAGTGGTTTGGTGGGTGTTACTGAGGGAGGCTATTTGTAACACCAATGTTATGCGGTAAGAACATCAGGTCAGTTTGTTTCGAGGAAAAATGGATCATGGTAAAGGAATGACCGAGGAATGAATAAAGCAAAGAATGTTCTCCACAACAACATTGTTTTGGCTCACCAAACCATTTTCAAAATGATTGATAAAGAGATCAGAAACATAATTTCGGCTCACAGACAAAGAAAGCATTTCGGAAACTTAATGCAACTTTGGATTAGATGATTTCACTCTTGTGTTATCTTAATTATTTGTTGCCTTGTTTTTATCTTTTTTTGGCAAGGTCTCAAAAACCTTAGGTTCTATCTTGTATATTTCCTAAACTTTTCATTTTATATGATATTTACAGTTATATTGAAAAAAAAAAGAATAAAGCAAAGAAACAAGGCATGAGATTGTTGGATGTACAACGACAAAGTGGTGGTCGTGGGAATAGATCGAGTGACTCCGAATATGAGATATATTAAGTTGAGGTCAACTGATGGACTACGTTTTTTTTTTTTTTCATGGGTTTTCTTGAATAACTTAGTCACAGTTAATTAAAGAGTTGATCGGAAGACATGGACAAACAAATGGTGACCTAAAAGTTTCCATCATGAATTGTAGCTACTAGCACATCAAATTTGAACTTTGTATTAATATACTCCATCCCCTAAAAATCAAAATCTTTTTACCTAAGAACTAAATGCGATATTTCCTCTAAGATCATCGAGATATTTCTAAACGAGGAACTATATCGATGAATATGCACAAAGCAACCAAAACAATTGGTGACTAAACAAGTCGCAACATATAATTTCTATCTCTATTTTTAATTTGCATAGTTATTAGAATATACTTTTCATCGAATCTATTGTTAATCTCTAAGGGTTTCTCATCCTCCATGAATCTTCACATCTTTACCACCTCAACCATTAGGGATACCACTAGCATTACTCACCGCTGCAATTACGTCACCATTAGGGATATGAATGCGGATGTGTTGAGTTTGGTTATCTGAATTCTCTTATTGAGTTTTTTTACTCACATTTCTATATATCTAGTAGGTAGAACCGGGCCCGAAGATGTAAAAGCTCCAAGCCCAAAGAATAAGGACTGCAACAGTGTTCTTTAGATAAGGTGTTCGACTTCCTCTCACCATCACTTTTTTGTTTTTCCTCTTAATATCTCACTAATGAATCAGCCCTTATTCTGGCCAGAATGCACGAGGGCGGGTTCGGTTGTTTAGGAGCTTGTTGGGTGTCATCTTCCGGGACGTCTTTTCTTTGGTTTTATGGAGTATGTTTGACACTCTAAGTTGTAGTATTGAGGCATTATCATCTTTTCTTTAAATTCTTCATATTTCCCTTGGGGGTTTTGTTGTTGTTCAAACTTTGTTTTTTATCGTTGACTTTATGAAATAATGTTTTAATTTGTAGACTTGGTGAACTGATAAACTAACCCGTTAGAGTAATAACCTTCATTTTTTAAAACCAAATGTTACATTCACCTTTGAGTGTTTATATTTTTAACTTGAAAGCACATCTCAATTTGTTAAAAGTCAAAGTCAAATCAAACCTTTTGTTGAAATTCAATGTAAAATCATTAGACAGATAGTATCAAATTTATTCTTATTAGTATTTAGCTATAATGATCAAACGAATATAGGAGATCGCATGAAATATATTGGAATCCGGGATAACGGGTGGATTGTATTATTTGTGGTAACATAAAAGAGACAAGAAACAATCTCCTTTTTCTCCTGGCGGCACTCGTCCGAAATCTAGGAGATCTTTAACTTAGACGAATTGGAGTCAACTAGTCACAACGCTTTACTCTTCTAGCCTGCTAGGCTCAATTTATTTCTCCTTCGGTATGTCTTTCAAGTGACTTTACACCATATTTGACGTGAGAGGAACGCTAGGAGACATGTAGATATCCATTCACCACAAACCCGACTTATCAATCTCATTGATAAGAATGTCTTCAACCAACTTAGTTCAATTAGAGATACAAGAATATCTTAGACGTAACCAAGAACATCTCCAGCTTCATTTTGAAAACTCTCTATTGTAACTCAGTAGCAAATAGATGCTGCATTCATTGTAAAAAGGTTTTGTTGGTTAAATACAATTTTACATTTATTCAAACGGAAAAAATCAACAAACAAATAACACAAGAGTTTGTCAAACATTTTAAATAAGTGATCCAATAACACTTCTTTTTTTCTTGGATACTCAAATGAATTGAAATATACAAATTAATGACCTCCTATAATGTCTTGGTTTGTATGATTTATTTTACATATGTGATCCATACTAACACATGGTTTTACTTGGATTTCAAACTTTTTTGGATTTTGAAATGTATCATACAATTAAGTAAATGCATTCAGATTTTCACAACAATTAAAATTCATTATTTAACTTAGAAAAGATTTAAATCTAACATAACGTTGTTAACTTGTTTTTGCTAGTAAATTCAAAATTTGGAAGATTGGTGTTTGAAAGGTTAAATTAAAACTTTACCAAGTGCCAATAGCTTAATTGGTAAAGACTCTCGTGCAAAGCGTAGAGATCTGCCGGTTCGAGTGACGTTTGGGAGGGGACCATATAAAATATTCTGATTCCTGTCTTGAAATGATGTACGGACCTAGACCTAGAACCTCTTAGTTATAAAAAAAGGATTAAAAATTTGTTGCTTTTTTCAAAGCTGGCAGTACTTTAATATTCAGGATTTTTAATGCGATATTTCGTGTACATATGCTTTTTTTCAACTAAATATTATATTTAAACAAGACACTTTGTCTAGTTTCCCGTCTAAAGAAAATGAGGTTACATATTATACATAAACAAATCTTGTTGTAGAAATTCGGGCTAAACAATTTACTTTAGAATCGAAAGTGAGAAAACTTAAAAATAAATTAGATAAATAAACTCGAGTCAAACCAAATTTGACTTGAAAATTGGAGAAAGTCTGATGATAGTCCGGAGACTGAGTAATAATAAATGATTCCAAATAATTTTATTTTATAAATATGAATGTATATATACTACAAATACTATATTATATAAAAAAAATCAAAGATAGCATATCGCGAGTATTTTGAACATTACTGAAACAGATGGGAAAACAAAAAAAAAAAAGGAAAAAAATTGTCAGCTACACGACATATAACACAATACATGCTATATACACCATGTACCTGACACTCCTTTTTTGAAACAAAAACAAGTATTAAAGGTAGGAGAATTTTAATGAGAAGTGAAAGCATCCAAACTCAACGGTCCAAATTCCTCAACTTCTATTGACCTCTCGTCTAACAAGACAAGATTCTCCATTATTCCTCCATTAGCTTCTTTACAATGTAAGATGAGATCATTCATGCATTATCTTTGTCGTCAAATTCAAGATCCGATCCTCATCACCATAGCATAACATATTGTGTGCATTTTAAACCTCTCAGTCTCATCAAGCTACATTATATTATGCATTTTTAATGTACATATACTAAAAAAGTATTTAATTTATGAAGTAAATTTCCAAACATAATATATCGTGTGTATACAAGCACAGAACGAAGAGAGAAAAAGGAAAAAGAAACGAAATGAAGATATGTACGAAAGGAGAATAGTAGTGAGAAGTGAATGCCTCCAAAGTGTAGAGTCCAAACTCAACGTTCAAAATCACAAGGCACAAGATAATGGGGTCGGGCTTATCAATTATCTTCCTTATATTAATTTGATGCATTCCTTTAGTTATCTCAACACTCAATCCAGTTATATCACAAACAATTGGTACATTAATCTTTTAATCTTTATAAGTAAAACTTGATGATTTTCGGTGTTGTGTGTGGAAGAATTATGTCTTACGGAATTGCTTTGTTAAAGATTATTTATGGCTTTATGATGTAATCCTTTTTTTTTTGGTCAAAATGTAATCCTTTTTTATACATATAATGTAAGCAATCTAGCGAAATCAAAAGTAATACACAATCTAACTCATCATCATCACCATCAAATTTGTGAAATTTTAATAAATAATATTTCAAATAGAAACTCTCGCGACTACGAATTGTAGTCCACCTATAGAATTTTGATCTAATAGTGTCATTTTGAAAAAATATGAACTCTAAAGAAACAAGACATGCAAAGATTATACTTCCTCTGTTTCACAAAAAATGTCATTTGACATGTTTTATACAAATAAGAAAGAAAAAAAATATAAATCTCTATTATACCTTTTATAAATATACTAAATAAATTTCTCTTCTCAATTAATAAAATGAAATAATATGGATAAAAATGACATTCAGTCTTACAAATAATACTAAAAATACTAAACGATATTTTTGTGAAACAAAAATAAAACTTTAAAACAATATTTTTTTGTGAAATAGAAGTAACATTAAAATAACATTTTTGTTTTTTGATAGTGACATTTTCCATGCCGGTTCAAATACTCAATAATAAATACAAAGCTTTTATTGTATATTGAGTTGACTTTTGTTATATCCACAAATGTATAATTTATATTGCTTAGATTTATATAAATCACCTGCAACTTCAGGTCTTAACTGAAGATATAAAAATATGTGCCAGTATTAAATTCTTACAAAAATTAGTTGACGATAAATAAATCCTAAGCATATCAAGGATAATTTTGATAAATTAAGGCAAATTTTTTCTAACACACAATAAAGAATCAGATACTGTCACCGTCGAGGTTTTGTTTTATTGTCAACGCTTTGATGTTTTGATATATAAAGAGATACGCTTATTGCTCTGTTTCGATACAAAACTCAAAACACAAACAATGGAGTCTCAGTCTCAGAGTGGTCAACACCAAACCCCGAAACGTTCTCGGTTCACCGGAATGTTCCATAAACTGAAGACGAATCTTGTTTTCCGGTCGAAGCTAGCCGAAATAAACGGTGCAATGGGTGATCTTGGTACTTACATACCAATCGTCCTCGCTTTAACTCTGGCCAAGGATTTGGATTTAGGCACAACACTGATATTCACCGGGATATACAACGCGATAACTGGAGCGGTTTACGGTGTCCCCATGCCGGTTCAACCGATGAAATCGATTGCAGCCGTGGCGATTTCGTCTACCGCGGAAGATTTCGGTATACCGGAGATTATGGCTGCTGGAATTTGCACCGGAGGGATCTTGTTCGTGTTAGGAATATCTGGTTTGATGCAGCTTGTGTTCAATATAATTCCTTTATCGGTTGTTAGAGGAATTCAGTTGTCACAAGGCTTAGCCTTTGCCATGTCTGCGGTTAAGTATATAAGGAAAGAGCAGAATTTTTCAAAGTCAAAAAGTGTTGGTGATAGGCCATGGTTAGGGCTTGATGGTTTGGTTTTGGCTTTGGTTTGTGTTCTGTTCATAATTCTTGTTAATGGAGATGGGGAAGAAGAAGAGGAAGAGGAAGAGGGAGATGGTTCAAGAGGAAGACGAAGACGGGTTTCGATAAGGAAGGTTATAGCTAATGTGCCATCTGCTCTGTTGATATTCTTGTTAGGTGTTGTTTTGGCATTTATAAGGAAGCCGAGTATTGTACATGGCATCAAGTTTGGACCGTCGAAGATGAAGATAGTGAGAATTAGCAAAAAAGCATGGAAAAACGGGTTCTTGAAAGGGACGGTCCCGCAGTTACCTTTGTCTGTTCTTAATTCTGTTGTGGCTGTGTGTAAGCTGTCGTATGATCTGTTCCCCGAGAAGGAGTTCTCGGCTGCATCGGTTTCGATGACTGTTGGGCTGATGAATATTGTGGGGTGTTGGTTTGGGGCAATGCCTACTTGTCATGGAGCTGGTGGGTTAGCCGGGCAGTACAAGTTTGGTGGGAGGAGTGGTGGGTGTGTGGCACTGTTGGGAGTGGCTAAACTGGTGCTAGGGTTGGTCTTAGGAGGTTCATTGGTGGGTATATTGGAGAAGTTTCCGGTTGGTGTGCTCGGGGCATTGCTTTTATTTGCGGGGATAGAGCTTGCAATGGCGGCTAGAGATATGAACACAAAGGGAGATGCATTTGTGATGCTTATATGCACAGCGGTCTCTTTGGGATCAAATGCTGCCATAGGCTTTGTGGCTGGGATTCTTTTGTATGTGGTTTTGTGGATGAGGAACTACGGGCGAGCCAAGCCGATCAGCCTTCCCTCGCAATCCGATGAACATGCTTGAAAGTCTTTGTTGTGTTAGTTAGTGTTCGCTCTTCTTTCTTCTATGCTTTCCAATAAAAAGTTCAAAACTTCATTGAACTGCATATAACTACACTCTGATTGATTCCAAATAAATCAGTATACCATGTTTGTGATTACTTATTAATAAGATGAATATTTGATTATCTCACAAAAAAGCTAATAGAATAATTCCTTACAATTCACATCTTCACATATTTTCTCATCTTTACTATATGACTACCACAAAAGCTCGACTTCTATTGTTTGAGTCACAGTTAGTATAATTGGTGCCTCAAGACTGAAAACACAGCTATTTAAGGCCTCCATATTGAAGGTGATGAGATTTTGTAATGGATAATTGTATATTTACTCTCATAATCATAATCTTTGGTAACATAGAATTATATAGCAAAAGAGTATCCTAAACTATGATGAATGCAAATATATGAATATCTAAATAATAAATATACAATATACATGAATATTGTCATTAATCTTGTGATCTTCTAGATCCTTCTATATGGCCCCTCAAGCTCAAGGTGTGGTGGAGTCAGTGATGGCTTGAGATTGACCATAGGTAACGACGAAATTGGTACAAGTGAAGAAGCATTACGCTTGGACCATGCGGTTAGACGGATTCACCGTATGACGCCTCAGAAAACATATGTTTGTGGAGGGTGGAACGAACTTAATCGTTTGGAAGCATATTTAGCTTAGGGAAGTCTTGGACGACTTATACGTATAAAATGACTAATTTGGTTAATATTCTTTTTCTATATGAGGATAGATTATGTACATATACGTATCATATAAGTTATTTAAATTTTCGCGGGAAATAAGTTAACAAGATACTATAACGAAATTTCGCGGGAAATAAGTTAACAAGACTTTTTCGAGTTACTTTCTATAAATTAAGCAAAGTTAAAAATTATGTACATAATGATGTATCATATAAGTTATTTAAAAATTTGCGGGAAATAAATTAACGAGATAATATAACGAGAATAAGCGGGAAATAAGTTAACAAGACTTTTTTCGAGTTACTTTCTTTAGATTTAAGCAAAGTTATCTCGGTCAATTTCTTGCAACCTTTGTGAAACCTTTTCAAGTTAGTTTATGCAAAAAATTTGGCTAAACTATTCAACTTTTGAACCCAAGTTTGAAGAGCATGAGACTTTCTTTAAGTATTTTACTATTTTCCCAATTGAAATCCTTTGTATTTCCAATAGAGTCTTATAACCCGCAAAATTGTTGGGCTAAACTGTATCATCCAAAAACACATTGATCAAAAACAACAAACCATAAATTGTTAGGTACCAAAACGTAAATTTACATAACCCATATAAATTCAGAGACACGAGCTTTTTAATGGCTTCTCTCCTCGCGTTATCTCCTTTGTCGATTTAGCCCTAACCTATACGGCTGCTACATCCAGATTTCCTCATCCTTATTAGGGAAGAAGAACCAAAACCCTAATCCTATCTTCTTCCTCCTCCTCTTATAAATCGCTTCAACAACAGTTTCTTCTCTCTTGTCTCTGATTTTGATTCATGATTTCTCATCTCGAACCCTAATTTATACATCCATCCATCGGGTGTTACTGTTCTTTATCTGGGCATTCAGTGGTTAGTCAAAAGTCTAGGTTTTTCATATAAAGTTTTGATTTTGCGTTGAAATCGATCGAAACCCAGATTTCATATTTCCTCTCTGTTTTTGCTTTTATCTTTTAGGTGTTTTTGTTCCTTTTGTTTATCTGTCGAGATTTCTAGGTGAAATCGAAGCTTGTTTGGTTTATCTCGATCTTGGTTTTAGCTGAATCGTGTGTTAAGATGGCTGGAGGTGGAAACAGGAGAGATGAAGGATCGATCACGATCCAGAGTACCAATTTGTTTGCAGCTTTGGATACTCGTAAGAAGAAGAAGAAGTCAGGGAAGAGCAAAGGGTCTTCTAAGTCACGAGAGCCAGAGAAGGAGCCTGAGCCTCAGGTCTTTTGGGCACCTACTCCGTTGAAAGTTAAGTCTTGGGCTGATATTGATGATGATGATGATGATGATGACTATTATGCAACCACTGCTCCTCCTCAGTCTGGTTGGAGCACTTCTGTGCCTTCCCATTCGGATTCGAAAGACGTTCATGTTGAGGTTAGAAGTCTAAACAATTTATGAGTTTTTGTTGTGATTCGTGAATTGGTTGTGATTAGATATGATGGTCCTGTGTCTATTGGTTTAACGATTCTTTTTGTGACTTGGGAATTCTGAGATAGTTTGTGTTTGGTGTTTATTGTATGAGAGAAGAGGATTTGTTATTGTTGCTCATGTTGCTTTATCCCTCTTCAAAGTTTATCTTATGTGTTACCTATGTTGTGGTAGCATTTGGTTGTGTAGGCTGACTTGTTTTAGCGTTAGTTCTTGTCTAGCTTGCGTGTGATTTTCTTGGTTTCTGATGGGATTATCTTGGTTTGATTGTCAGGAAAGTGAAAGTGAGGAAGATATTCTTGATGAAGGTGATGATGATGTGGAGGAAGAGCAGGAACAGGAAACAGAGGTACAGGTTCATCCAGAGCCTGAGCCTGAGGTGAAGAAAGCTCCTGAAGTTCCTGGGCCTCCTAAAGAGGCAGAGAGGCAACTTTCCAAGAAAGAGAGGAAAAAGAAGGAACTTGCTGAGCTTGAGGCTTTGTTGGCTGATTTTGGTGTTGCCCCCAAGGAGAATAATGGCCAAGATGAATCTCAAGGTACACTTGTTTTCAATTTTGACCTCTTTAATAGTACTAGTTGCAACTGATTGTTCCAGGCCATTGTGCTCTACTGTATTGCTCTATTCTCTTTTCTACTGTTTTGTGTGTGTCACTATCTTGCTGAGAAAATCAGTATGTATTGATCTGTCTAGCATTTTTGCTGATTCCGATGCATTGTATGTTCTCTTACAGAGGCTAAACAAGAAAAGAAAGAAGATGTCAATGGAGAGGGAGAGAAGAAGGAGAATGCAGCAGGTGGGGAGTCAAAGGCATCGAAAAAGAAGAAAAAGAAGGATAAGCAGAAGGAGGTAAAAGAATCTCAAGAGCAGCAAGCAAACAACAATGCCGATGCTGTAGATGAAGCTGCTGGGTCTGAACCAACTGAGGAAGAAACTCCAATTGATGTCAAAGAAAGGCTGAAAAAGCTTGCATCCATGAAGAAGAAGAAGTCAGGCAAAGAGGTGGATGCTGCAGCTAAAGCTGCTGCGGAGGAAGCAGCTGCAAGACGTAAGAAGCTGGCCGCTGCAAAGAAGAAGGAGAAGAACCACTATAACCAACAGCCTGTGCGGTAAATCCTGAACCACCACCATTTTGATCTTGATGGAAATGCAAATATGAACATGTATTTCGCCGTATATTGTTCATATGAGTCTCTGTCCTAATAAATCTTTTGAAGGGTCTGGTTCTTAGAGTTAAAGACATTGAATCCTTTTTCTAGTCGTATTACAATGAACAGGCTAAAGACAAAACTTCTCTCTGGAAATTTTCTTTTCTTTTTGAACACTTTTGTTTTTTAATATCAGACCTTTTTAGGTACATTATGTCTTCAATCATCTTCTTATGTATGGTTTGATGATGTTATGTTTTTCTGTTTTCATTCAGTTTCCTGTGTTTTGATTCATGCCTTGTCAAAAAATCTTCTGCTAGTTTCCACTCTTATGTAGGGATGGTAAATAGTCAAATATTGAATTGATAAATCAAGTACAAGGTTTTTTGGTTAGATGTTCCAAACTCATCACAAAGATGAGTCTAAATCCGAACTGAGGCATTTGAATAGACAACACGAGAAAAGTAAAGAGGCAATTTAGATAACCTCGTTGCATGCACTATCATCATTCAAATTTTTTATTTAAAGACTCATCACAAAGATGAGTCTAAATCCGAGCCGAGACATTTGAATAGACAAACACGGAACAAGTAGAGAGGTAATTTAGATTACCTTGTTGCATGCACTACCATCATTCCAAATTTTTATTTAAAGACTCATCACAAAGACGAGTCTAAATCCGAACCGAGGCATTTGAATAGACAACACGGGACAAGTAGAGAGGTAATTAATATTACCTCGTTGCATGCACTACCATCATTCCAAATTTTATTTAAAGACTCATCACAAAGAAGAGTCTAAATTCGAACGAGGCATTTGAATAGACAACACGGGAAAAGTAAAGAGGCAATTTAGATTACCTCGTTGCATGCACTACCATCATTCCAAATTTTTATGTAAAGACTCATCACAAAGACAAGTCTAAATCCGAGCCGAGGCATTTGAATATACAAACACGGGACAAGTAGAGAGGTAATTTAGATTACCTCGTTGCATGCATTACCATCATTCCAAATTTTTATTAAAAGACTCATCACAAAGTCGAGTCTAAATCCAAAACGAAGTATTTGAATAGACAACACGGAAAAAGTAGATAGGTAATTAATATTACCTCGTTGCATGCACTACCAGCATTCCAAATTTTATTTAAAGACTCTAAACACGTTGTCTACAGCTTAAAAAACAGTGAAACGATTCCTTTTGATTTTTTTGGGTTTAGGAGATGGAGATCGTGATGAGGGAGGAGTTGAAGATCGTTGTCTCTTCATCTTCATATTTAGTTGCTTTCTTTCATCCAAGCAACATCTCCCATGTCCATTTAGTGGTTGCAGATTTGATCACATCATCCATAGTATTTTTAGTGCGATAAGCCAACAATCATGTTGTAGCCACTCTTACGGAGACAGTAGTTTAATGTGAATAACATAATCTAACTAAAACGTTTTCATAAACTAATCACATAAATAGAGAATCTAATTATCACATAAAACACACTCAATAGAGAGAATAACATAATGACGAAAAGAAAAAAATAGAGAGAATAACATAATTTAACTAAGACATTTGCATAAACAAATCACATAACTAGAGAACTAATTATCACACAAAGCACACTCAATAGAGTGAATAACATAATTTAACTAAAACGTTTACATAAACTAATCCTAAACACGGTAACTCGCACTTCGACGAAGAAAAACATCATAACGATTCTCATATCTTTTCGGCTCGGGAGAAGAGTCTCTAGGCGGAGACCGTCTCTTCGTTGTTTCTTCCTTCTTCTTCGGAGGTTTAGGACTCAACCCGAGAAGACGTCGTCATTCCATTTTGTACGAATCTTGTACGAGCGATGGAGTACAAGAGTTCTTAAGCCGTTTTGGGACGATATGCGCTAAGGATGTTGAAACCCAACCTCTTGAAGTCGAGCAACTCACCCAATAAACCCTCGTCTCCCGATATCAACATGACGTTAGCAGAAAGTTCAGTCGTTAGCTTCAATTGAGTCATTTGTCTTTTGATCTCGTTACAGCTGATTTGTTTTTCTCCCTTGGCTGAGAAAAAAATATCAATATAGATTTAGTTCACTTGATTGATTAAGTAAACGACTATATCGTTTGAAAAAAAAAAACTTGTAAATATTTAATTCACATAATAATAAAAAATTGCATCGCCGCAACTATATAAAATAATTCCATTTGTGAGCTCCAATAATCGCTCTCAGATGTCATATGTAAATCGGTTGACCCAATATTAAACTCCATTTCTAATTCAACATGTACGATGTCGATGACAATTGCTCATAGTCTTGTCACTTGGGTCAGCAACAAAAAAAATTTGTTCCATAGTATGAAACCGAATCTTTTTGCATCTAAAAAATCACCTTCTCTTCTCAGTTCCTTTTCTCATTTTCTACTCTGTTTTCGTAGTGGTTTTCTCTACTTGATAAATTACAGTATAATTTCGATCATGTGTTATGATTTTAATTCTCTTCTTAGACTTGATTGATTATTTTGTTTCAACTTTGGTTTTGTTGTAGCTTGCCAATCTCTCATCAATCTAAATGGCGACTCGTCCAACTCATCAAGGTGAAAAATGGTGTCTATCTCCCCTAGAAAATGGGTATGGGTTAAGTTTTATGAGGTTATACAAGCGCCAAAGGTTTTCCACTTGATTTGGAAAGCATTGAGTGGTGATTTCACAATGCGGATGAGATATGGCGGTATTTGTAGAACATGTCGTGCAGCTGAGGATACAGCCGGTCATGTATTGTTTAATTGCAGAGTAGCGAGACAAACATGGGCTTCCTCACAAATTCCCTTCCCAACTGGTGGTTTCTCCACTCATTCCCTTTTACTGAACTTTCAGCATTTACTCGGAGTTTTGGAGTGCCATCAGTTTCCGAATCAACTCAAGATTGTCATTCTATGGATTCTATGGAACCTATGGAAATGTAGAAAAGCTTTTGTCTCCAACAATACCGTGGTGATCGACGTAGTCATTCCATTTTGTACGAAACTTGTACGAGCGATGGAGTACAAGAGTTCTTAAGCCGTTTAGGGACGATATGCGCTAAGGATGTTGAAACCCAACCTCTTGAAGTTGAGCAACTCACCTAAGAAGAATTTGTCTCCCGATATCAACATGACGTTGGCGGAAAGTTCAGACGTTGGCGGAAAGTTCAGTCGTTAGCTTCAATTGAGTCATTTGTCGTTTGATCTCATTACAGCTGATTTGTTTTTGTCCCTTGGCTGAGAAAAAAATATTAATAAAGATTTAGTTCACTTGATTGATTAAGTAAACGACTATATCGTTTGAGAGAAAAAAAATAGTAAATATTTAATTCACATAATAATAAAAAAATTGTCGTCGCCGCAACTATATAAAATAATTCTATTTGTGAGCTCTAATAATTACTCTCAGATGTCCTATGTAAGTCGGTTGCCATTAGCGATTACCGCCATGATGTCAACATGGCCAAGATAACCCTTGTCCCTCAAGGAATACGTTATACTCGTGGCGACATTGTGAGGATGAACTCCATAAGAATTGGACAATTCTCTATGTCTCACCATATCATGATGAGAGTATATGCATTAGCTTGAGGATTTCAAGCTTGATTTCTTATGAAAGAAACAAACATTTATTTTTAACTTAAAAGCCTAATTATTTTTAAATTCTCCACTAAAATAGTCTCTGATTGTTGATTTAAATAAATTGTAATTTTTGTTATAGTAAAGGTTTAAATAAATGATTTTGGCAAATATCATATTTTCCAATAAGTCATTATAAAATTAGAATTGGATATTACAGTTTCATTACATATCGATGATAACCGGAATCGAAATAATATGATTTATGGTTGGATAAAAATGACACTAATATTTGCTTTTGAATGTAATGAGCATGACACACATGTTTGTACATATGTAATTGTCTTCCTCCTTCAAGCCATATCAAATTGGTCAAACTATTTTCATTGTCTTCTTGTTGGTGTTATATTGGTTCTAAATCGAATTAGTGCTACTTTAAACGTTTGAATACTCTAATATCCTATCACTAAAATATCAAATTTCGAACATATTAACTAATTCCAGTTGATTACATTGGTCTAAATGTCTTTATTTTTTTCTTTGGTACCACATTAGTTCTCAATCAAGTTAGTGATACTGTGTAAACGTCCATATACTTTTATATCATATCACTAAAATATAAAATTTCAAACATATTAGCTACTTACAGTTGATCCAAAAAGAAAAAAAAATTTAACTACTGATTTTTTAGTATGTTATCTTATAATAATAAAAAAAAATCAATCTGTTTTCTAAGAAAAATACTCGTACACTTAATCTGATTATATGACAATGAGACCAAATTTAGAATATTTTAATCTAATTCTTAAACACTCTACACATATAGATGATCTAGTCAACTCTCTACTACTTATTTATTTATTTTATAAGATGAGACACAATATGACTAACCAACAAATAAATATATTCAACTAACAACACAACGAAAATTAAGTTACAATGGTCGAAGAAAATTTAATTTAAAACAAAAGGAAAAATCCACTTAATTAGTAGCAAAAAGGGAAATATAAAAGTTTTTAAATTCTAAAGTAGCGTTTTAGTATAAATAGCTATATAAAACTGATAATGGAACATGAGATTGCGAGAGAGGCGAACATATGCAAAGATTCGATCGGAGAATTTGCAGATGAAGATTTGAAATAGGAGATTGCGAGATGCTTGAGATTTCGGCAATAGTGTGGCGATACGAGTTTGAAATCGACAGATTCGAGCTGAGAGAACAATAAAGAGTCGTGCTTCTCATCAGCAGTCACGTTTCTCTCAATAAAAAAAAAGGTGAAAAGAATTATATATTGAAGAAGAAGAACAAGAGAAGCAATAAGATATTTATAAAAAAAAATTATATATAGGGTTCTATATATTATAATCGTTTGATTAATTTGAATTCTCTGTTTTTGAATTATCTTTTTAACCATGCAAAGCTTCTTCAGAAACTAAAGTTTTGCGTGTTTGTTTGCCAAATCTAACCGATTGCGATGAAAATTATATGAAAGATGGCAAGTGACTGTTTTTTTTTTTTTGTAATTGTTTGTATTATTATTTTTTTTTTGTAATTGTTGACGAGGACTGTGTTATAAAGATAATATTATCATATCAAAAATATCATAATAAAATGGGCTTATATCTTTACAAATATATGTATATCTTGCTTGACAACATAGATGTGAA